GACCGCGGTACATAAAGATTTAATGACGGGTACATAAATCGATTTAATGACGGCGTACATAATTCGCATGTTTCGTGATTGGCATGAGCACAAGAAAGTTGCATCTGATTGGTTGGTTTAATGACGGTACATAAATGATGATTTAATGACGTCATTAAATATCATTTATGTCCTTCTCGCCTGCCATATTCGACACGTGAATCGTCGTGATACGCTGCGCGCGCTAGATAACATTAGTTGACTATCGTTGGGCATAAGTTGTGAACACAGGCAGCACGCTAAGCATTCGTTGGTTAAGTTATCTTATTAAGTATCGAAACGTTCTATATAATACGATAAGTTTACTAATACGTTATGTATTACGTCCAACTCGTTATTGAATACCTATGTATACGCCCAAAATTAAAAAAACATCGATAGTTCAGCGTATGCCAGCGATTTAGAGAAATTTTTGATACGTCGGCATACGCTGGCTAAATCGTCAATGTGTGACAGGTCTGAAATAGGTTCTTAAACAGGTTCTTTCTTTCAGGTTCTTTAAATAGGTTTTTATTTTCTCAAGAAAAAAATGTGCTTGTTGCTGGTAGAACATTGCGTGCAGTCATTGTTTCTATGAATTATGCATATAATATATCTAAATGACTGCAATCTAACAAATACAACCCTATTCCAGATTATCGTTATTTCTTTTTATGCCCATCCAAGTGTATACCTAATAAACATCAACAAAACAAAATAGAATTGTTTAAAACACCACAAACATAATACCTGACCAGGGTTCCTCAGTCAATAATGATAAGTATGGTAACAGTGCCAATTTCATAATGTATGCAGTGAAACTGCACAGTACTATTTTTGGTACATTAGGTGATTCATGAATTTTCAAGTGTAACTGAATTTTATTAAATAAGAATCTATTTCAAATCTTAGGCTAAAAACAGGATTCTTATGTCAAGTTGTCTAAATGGAAAAGTCTTAGCCTAAACACGGTTCTTAATCACTATAGGTCTTATACGCGGCTTTTACTATATAGCATAATACATAGGGACGACAATGATGACACATACACACACCACCGCATACACTTCTTCTTGGTTACAGCGGCTGTGGTGCGTGCGTGTGGCCTTCACGAAACGCGTGTCGTGCCGTGTCGGTGCTGCTCATGTGCGTGTGTGGGTGTGCGTATGTTTGTTCTATGCGATATGTCGTGCGCTGTGCTAGGGGCAAAAATGTTCCCCAGCTGGGACTCGAACCCGGAATCCCAGTGTAGAAGACGAATGTTCTAGCGATTACCCCCAATGCGCCGTTAAGGTTATACACCATGGATTCACACGTACGTGATGTTAATCTGCCATCTATTGATGAACAGAATTTCTATAAATTTTTTACTTTTTAACTTTTAAATTTTTGTTTCAGCCAAAACCACCTCACAGACGTGCTGATTCTGAAAATAGCTTTAGTTTTCCTCTAGGCTGCGGAGTTCTCTAGTTATGCGAGTACGGACTAATTCGGCTCAACAACTTTATATATATAGATTTTCCTCTAGGCTGCGGAGTTCTCTAGTTATGCGAGTACGGACTAATTCGGCTCAACAACTTTATATATATAGAGCCCCTCCCATGAGTGGTACATGTTCTTTTGAACCCTTAATTTTTATGCATTTTCACCCTTGTTCCCCATTAATAAAATAACTTGTTCCCTAAAATGTTTTTACCTTGTGTTACCACGATCCCGAAATTTATTTTCCGATTCCCTTAATCCCCAAAAATATTTATCACTGTTCCCCATTTTTGTTTGGTACAGTAGAACCTCGCGAATTTGAACTCCCGAAGGAAGCAAAAAATGGTGACGCTGAAGTGAAAAGGACCTATAATTGCAGACTCTAATGGTGCCTACAGCACACGATGTGCCTTGTGGAATGCCTCTGAAATACATCAACCTTTATTGTTAACAGTCTCAGAAAACTGAACAAATCACAAAAATAGAAAATCAGAGTCTCCCTTGTTCCCAAAAATCTAATCAGCAGTTCCCTTGTTCCTGAAAATAATTCGACAATGTCTCCTGTTCCCTGAAAGTTAATGCTCCTGTTCCCTTGTTCCCTAAAACCCCTGGGAGGGACTCAATCTGTCAGAATTCGTTATGCAAGTGGTTTTGAAAGGCATGAACTTTGTTCATGCTTCACTTCAAACGCATCCGTCCGCGGCCTAGTCCTAACCCGGTGCCGCGGAGTGAGTGTGCAGACCAGGGGCCCATTGTCAGAAATAAAATCATTAGTCTTAACTGCGAAGAAAAAATACAAACATAACAACAAACAAAACGAAACAAAGTGATGTCGACGGTCTAGGAGAAATTGACCGACAACTATTTCTGACAACGGGCCCCTTACCATTAGATTGAACGGTGTTCGGGCGACAAACCTCGCGACACGGCGACAGTCTTGCTTACGCTAATGCACACGTTCATTACATTATACATGACGATCGCGTTAGGCCATTTTATTGGCCGTGTCCGTCGATAATGGTACGGGTATAAATAGATATATATACGTGCGTATGCGCGAGAACAAGTGCATCATTCGCTGGCGTCGCATCGCCACCTCCGTCCCTGCTACGCCGCAGTCGGCAGTCGGTAGAGCGATGGCTTCATTGGACATCGTTCCTCCGTGTAACCTCTCGCTGTCGGCGCTCGAAAACGACAGCGTCGTCGTCGGCAGCAGCAGCGCGGGAACGACGGACGTCGGCGCCGTGCCCGAGGGCCTTCCGAAGTGGTTCGCCTACCCGCTGATCATCGTCGGCGTCGTCAACATCGTCGTCAACGCCGTCGTCGTGCTGGCGGTGACGCGCACGCCGTACCTGCGGGAGCCGGCGCACACGCTCATCGCCAACCTCGCCGTCGCCGACGTCGGCCTCGGCGTGGTCGGCCTGCTGTCGCCGGCGGCGTTCGTCGTTGATCGGCCGCCGATGGTCGTCTGCGTCGGCCTCTTAGCCGTCGTCACCTGCTTCGCGTTCGGCTCTGTGACGACGCTCATCGCTATCAACGTCGATCGCTACGTGTCCGTGTCGCGTCCGCTGCGCTACCATCAGGTCATGACCCCGCGCGTGGTCTCCGCCATGATCGCGCTCAGCTGGAGCGTCGCCATCGTCGTCGGCGTCGTCAGTTTCGTCGAGAACAGCTGGTCCCCCGACAAGCCGTGTCTGTATGACGTCATCAGCGGCAAGGCGACGCTGATGCTCGGCGTCGTCTTCGTCGCTATCTGCGGCGTCGCCATCGTCGTCATCTACGCGTACATGATGCTCGTCGCTAGGCGACACCGACGGCGCATCCAGCCGCTGCCGCCGCCGACGACGAGCAACGGTTCCTCCCAGCCGACTGAGCTCCCGGAGGAGCTTCGCTCCTTCTCCGAGGCGCTCGCCAGGAATCTGAAGCTGGCGAAGACGTTCGGCATCGTCGTCGGCGCCTTCTTCGTCTGCTGGGCTCCGTACTTCGCCGTGATGCTGCTGAGCGTGTTCGAGGTGCGACGGGAGCCGCTGGGGATGCTGCGCGGGGTGGGACACGTGATGGCCTGCTTCAGCTCGAGCGTTAACGTCTTCGTCTACGCCGGACAGAGCGAGGCATTCCGCAGGGCGTTCAGGGCGGTGCTGGCCTCGCGTGGCGGAAACTAGAAGCGTCGATGGACGGACTACCGACGTCCTCGCGCCCGCCCTGCTCGTCCACCGTGATTGTTAGACGGAAACTAGAACCGTCGATGGACTGACTTCCGACGTAGCTGCTCGTCCCCTGACTCGTCCACCGTGTTACAATGTCGGGCAGGGTCCGTGTTGATGTTTGGATGAAGTAATTCTGACTGCAGGCTAATTTCGAGTTTATTGCGCATTTATACGTTCGACGAGGTCTCGTGTAATTCGTTGGCGTGCCCGACACGGGGATTCCCAAATACTACTCTTACAAGGAATTGTTAGATGGTATTAGTGAAAGCTGTATTGTCAGGTCATTGAAAACGACCTGAATGTCATTGAAAAATAAAATGAAAATGAAATGTGTCATCGCACATGGCGACGCACTCGGGACTTATTATTTATGCGCTTGGGACGATTGCAAGCAAGAGGCAAACTATGTGGTTCAAGGTTTCGTTTAGTTTAATATTAGGTATTTTTCACAAGCCAGATATTCAAGATAGTGGCATTCATTCTAGCCACGTACTGTTGGCGCGCACACTGACATGACATCACCACGCAAAAGAGCAACGCACAAGGTAAACTTTATTAAGCGTGTGAAAGCCTCAATTATATACGGCATATCTATGTCGGCCCCCTATATTTATATATATATGTATATATATATATATATGTATGTATATATATATATAGTGGCATTCATTCTAGCCACGTGCTGTTGGCGCGCACTCTGACATGACATCACCACGCAAAGGAGCAACGCACAAGGTAAACTTTATTAAGCATGTGAAAGCTTCAATTATATACGGCATATATATGTCGGCTCCTTA